CGTTCATGGATGCCTGTGATCAACGACTGAACCAAATAAATCAACGTATTGCAGAATACACAGTCAATGGGAAACAGTAGTTTCTCATTTCCCACGCCGACTCGGAAATTGTTAAATAATCTTGTGATGTGACCACAAACCAAATCCTGGGATTCTGTCTTGGCTCAAAATTCATATTTAACACTTATTTTTAACATGTGGTTAACATACTTTCTGGCACAATGAGTGGTTTGAGAAAAACAAAAAACGGCCCCAGAGAAATAGGCCAGGTGTAAGTCTAGTCCATTACATTTAAGTATTTTCTTCATTTTCACTGGAACAGATTATGTCTGTCTGGGAATTTGATCCTTTGGGTTGGCTTTGCTACTGTAGTACTTTGAGATGTGGACTAACCAGGGTTGGTCAAGGCTGGATGAAGGAAATCCTATATTATCTCAACCTGCGTGTGCAAAATTAAGGAATCCTCCCAAGCCCAGCCACTCCAACTGCAAGAGCATTGAGTGGCAAATCTGGTTTACATTATAACCGCAACTGCCAAAATCCATGCCCAAACCCAAGCAGACACATTTTATAGTGAATTTGATGGGTGCGTTTTATTTCACACTTTCCCTGAAGCGTTCTCCCGCATGTATCACTGCTCATATCTGGAGTTTAAATGTTTCCATTCCAGTTACTGTAAGTTACACATTCAGAAACGTTTAGACACAATAGTGGGTAATTACTGGACTGCATAACAGCTGACAGTTGGAAAAGCAGGGGAACATGTGTCTTTACATGCCAAGAGGGGACTGTATCCCTGCTACAACATTCACCCGTCAGTTGTTAAAGTTTACCCGTCAGTATGATGCAATACAACTCAACAGCACCACAAACATGATCAACAGGGTAAACCAATGACGCGCTTAAAGTGTTGCAACAAACAAACCAAACATTCCTGTATTAGACTGCATTCGTTTTTTCCCAAATGTGCATTAAAGACTTGAAAGAAAAAGAGTGACAAAAACAAAAAATCCTCCTCGCTTTACACAAAATATGCGATAATGTCAGGCCCTTACACACTGGGGATGCTACAACAAGCATTAACCAGACTTATGGTGTGACCTATGAGGTGTTGGAGAGTTTGATATGTTTTGTGGTAATTTTAGGCTTGTTTAATTCACAGCATGGTAGAGAGAAAGAGAGAGCGTGAGAGTCTCTTAATGGGTGCATTGGTTACAAGAGCAGCCTCATGTATTATTGACCCATTCAGAGAACTCATCTGCTCTCCTACCCCCCTGGGTTTGTTTGTGTGGAGTACCATTTACCATCACAGTAACAGAGATAGGTAATGCACCCTTTTAGCCTGATACCAACAGGCCTTATAGAGGTAGAGGAATAAAGAGGGAGGTCAAGCTGTGAAGGCCTCACAAAACACTGACAACCTTCTGACCGGCAGCATATGTTTGGGGCCTGCTCCCATCATGCAAACAACTAGAGAAGTTGTTTTATTTTCAGTTCTGCTAGACCTAGAATAAAATCGACTGAGCACATATTTGGTGAGTGGCATGACTAACAAATCCGGTTCACTGCATGAGAGGACATGTCTTAATTTCAGTGAACAAACTACGAAGAAACATGTTCTGTCAAAACCACAGTTGAAAAAAAGTTCTTGGCACACTTACTGAAAAATACACAGAGCATTTGGGGTAATCCTAGGACTCGCACATACTGTACATGTATTGGGACATTTCACAACAGAACTATGAAGATAAAAGCAGAGGCGATACAGATTGGATCAAGAGGGCTGTTGAAAGTGAGGGGTGTTTATCATGTGAAGCTGAAGGGGAGGCCACGGTTTGTGCAGTGGTCTCACATTTGGTGAGGTCACTGCACAAACTTCATATTCTGTGCATTGCAAAAGCGGCTCGTCATTACTGGCAATGTTTAACTTGAGTAAACACTGGCTTCAAAATATAGCCACATGATTCAAGGGGAAATGGCACAGGTAAGAAAAAGGGATTATGAGATAGAGGAAATGGGGTGATGACATGCACGAAGGAAGGATCTACTTGTTTATGTCAAATTTTAATTGGGTGAAACCACAAGACAGGAAATGCTGTCCACCTGCCAAACAGATTAAGAAGCATCTCAATTGTCCATCGGCCATTTTGGCAAGAACGAAAAACCCTAAGAGGCGCAGAGAAGCTTGTCAAAGCAATTGAGCTTGCAAATAGGACTTTTCCCACAGGCTTTAATTCCTCACAGCGAGGTTAAGCAGCAACATGTGTGCTCTATTAAATGTTGACCATGTTGTCAATATTTTATTGGTATTTTCTGAAGCACACGTGAGACCTCCACTGGTTTCACGTTAGTCAGTTGTGTGTTCAGTGGCCATGGGCAGCTAATGGCATCACTCCTCCTACATAATGATACCCATGGTGTACAGCTCCCTCGGGTCAGGAGCACTGAGGATCTGAGTGGCAGTTAGGACTATTGATTACAATTACACAACTGCCCCCCAGCTGTTTCATACACCTAATACGCTAACTAAACATTTCCAACTGCTATATTGATGGTTATGTACCCATCAGTCGATTAAAAAATGACATAAACAAAACTCAACACACTCAATAATGTAGGAAAGTTTGAAAGGCATCATCATGTGTTTTAAAGAAGTGAATCGGCAGTAAAACAAATTCAAAGCTGATGACAGCCATCATGGAGCTAATAGTGTTCTCAGCATGCTGTAAGTGTGGAGAAATAGAGGGAAGGCACAGCTGAGAGCTCTGACCTATCACTAGTCTCTTCACTCTGCACTCAACAATAAACAAAGAGGCTCTTGCCAGTGTGTGTCTTCACAAAAATGCACAAATTGTTAGAAGAGGAAAAGAGACACTTTACTTCAAAACTGTGTTGAGAAATTGTAGTGTAATTGTCAGTAGGCATGCATGTACTATACTGTATGTTATAATCTAAATAATATGTTTCTGGGAGTTTGAAAGGACAGACAAATGTGTGTTTTAAATCTGAAACAACAATCAGAGTGTGTGGTTAAAGCTACAATCCCCCCTTTATAGCCCTGGAACAGATCCCTCTATTCCCGAGGAGGTATTTACATGTTTCATGGAGGAATTAATTAAAATTGCGTGGAAGGCGGTCTCGTGTACAGTCACATTCTTGTCCCACTGAAAAGCTGTAAGAAACACTTGAACAACACAGCAATATGTTCACTTCAACAGATTACATATCCACACCAAGAGCCAGAGGGGTGGCCAAAGGCGACATGGACCCCCCTGAATTCAGATTGGCCCCTTTGATGCCCCACTACCGTGCGAAGATGACAGGTAGTTTACTGGTTTATCAGTAACATGGAAGGATTACCTAACAGGCCTACCAGGTAGGATGCAAAACAATTCAAAACGACTCAAAGTGACACATCCCAACTCCTAAGAGACGTAAAACAACGATAAAGACACAAAATGATCAAAGAACGATGCAAAACAACCATGAAGAGTCATTGTGTCTTCTTCTGCTTCTGTGTAGGAGCATTTGATACATTTTTGTATATTTGGACTAAACAATGTTCAGTTTACTTTTGCAATGAACCAAAGCTTGACACATTTTTACTCATTTTACAAATGTTTCCTATATACTTCTTTAAAACTGTACGCCTTTCAAAAGTGTCTAAACCTTTTCCCATAAGATATCTGGATGCCTGCTTATAATAATACAAAAACAAAAGTTCAATGCCGTTTCGTCACATTAGCTCAGTCCTCCTTACACATGTTGATTACCCAACATGCATTCTTGTATTCATTTCTGCTCTCCTCCCTCGGGCTTCTCTGGCAGAGGACCCCAGTGAGAATTAATAAATAATACAAAGGTGTGGTTGGTTGGATGTCTGGGATCCTGACTCAGGATTCCATTTCCCTGACAGAGAGCCTGGACGGTGTCCATTTCTGTTACCTAGCAACTTCTTCCAGGAAAGCTGGAACAATCAGCCGGAGCACCAAACACACTCAGAGGCAACAAAAGGGCCGACTCCTTTTTCCTCCTGAGCGCTGAGGAAAACTGATACTGAGGAGGTAGGTCCTCGTCCCCCAGATGTTCCAAAGTGCACAGTCCAATTCAGTTTCATGTCACTGTCACTGGACCCTTTAGATGTGTCTGAAGCATGAAACTGAAGCCACATGCTTTCTCTGGTGAGGAGGTATTATGTCATCTCGTTGAAATTGATGCCCTCATTGACACCAAGTACAAAACACCTCGACCAGGCACTGATTCGGTAGACTTTCCAGGAAAAGAAACACTTCGAATAAATAGAATAAGCAAGCCTGAACGTTTTCAACCACATTGTGGCTTTTTACGAAGTGAGGTAATATGCTAGAAATGCAATCATGACAGATAGTTGTATTGTGCAACAACAATGCATCAAAAATGTTACAATATCTTATCATTTGTTCACTTCTATTCAGTCTCTCTCTCACATATTTGTAGGTCAGGGGCACACAATCAATAATATGACCTTTTTTCCACACAGAAATCCAACATGTGCTCCCACCCAGCTGATCTGAGGTCAGCTGTATGAGGATGCAAAGGATTTAAAGAACTCTGTAGCCTATCATTGCTCACATTACCATTAATACACTGCTTAAACTGCTTTATAGTTGAACATACTTTTTATGATGTGTTTATACAACGGTCCATCATTTAGTTTTGTAAAAGTTCCCCTTTGTGTATATATTTCTGACAGGCACACGCCCTTATCCATCCACTCCTCACCACTCTCTTGAGGTAACTACACATTTCTGGGTGTACACATGTGTAAAGGTCACACACGCTACAACATGACCTGCACTTTTCACCCAGCAAAACCCACATGTGCTCAAAATGTGAGTAAAAGCAGGTTGTTCCCCAGGGCCACAAAGGTGTAAACTGACACTATACCACTAACCGAGATTAAGGTGGACAAGAAGAAGAGGGGGGGGGGCAGGGTAAGGGGAGATAAGGTGTGTACTTACAATCAGCACGGAGGTCCTCACCACCTCAGAGACACTTTGCCTGAGTTCAGCCGCGGTGCCAGGCTTACCCAAACCCCGCGTAAACCTCCTGGTCTCCGGATGCGCTGGAGTACCCATCGTTGCGCACCACTTTGCATCTATGACCGTCCAATCCACAAGTTAAACAAGGTTTAGAGCAGAATCATCCCCGGTGTATCCGCCTCCCCGATCCCCGCTAGTGAGCACGAGTTTGAAGCTGGGTCATGTTGTGGTGTTTCTGCTGATTCACTCCCACCTCTCGATCTCTTTTCACTTTTAAAATACAACGCGTGCTGCATTATTCCGGCGCGCTGCCTTTTTCCATCGGATTTAATGTTGTCATAACAAAGTATCCTCTTGAGAAGTGTCTCATTGGCGGTGCAGCGCCAGACAGGAGGTGTATAATCTGTCTCCTCAGCGCACTCCGCCCCTCACCGGTTTAAAGGCCTGCCCACTGCCGGCTGTGTGAGCTGCTGGGCCCGGACTTTGGACTGGCAGCACTCTGAATGACTGAACCAATATTATCATAATACCACCACAATTACACCAGAATTCAAGTTTCTGGTGTTACAACCTCTGTACCTTGTGGCATGTGAATTAGGTTAGACTAGATTACACTTTCACAGAATAACCAGATAAAAGGCCAGATCAAATTGGGTCATATGAAGTAGCTGGTTCACTAACATTAGATTCTAAAACAAGATAAGATAAGATTGACTATTTTCTCTGCTTGTAAGGTCATGCTTTAGGATTATTTTCTGATATCATAGGTAAAACATATTTTAACAACTTCAATTAACTATTTTGGTGTTGAGAAGCACCATTTAAGAAAAGAGGTGCTAAATCTTGTCATATTTCTTATTTAGAGGCAGCAGGTTCATTATGAAGATGTGGAGTCTAAATCACAGTACTCAATAGTTTTACTTTGTTTAATTTCCATATTTCAACATTGCTAAATTGTTGCTTTAACATGCGTTGACCCTTATTTCATGAAGAACTAGATGCAGAATACACATTAAGTATTGGTCTCAGTGTGCAGAGCAAAAATAATACTTTCTATTGGTTTTACTGTGTTTACTAAACTAGGCTGTGGTTATGGTTTGACTGAACCGAAATACTTGATCAACGATGCCCTCTGTAGGTCACATGTGTAAAAACACTGAAGGGCTGCCCTGCTTTAGATTTACTTAACATACACTTAATTCCCTGTTGAAAACATCATCCCAGCCTCTGGAGCTTCATCAAAAAAACACACATAACACAAATCCAAGTTTGAATACGTTTCTTTTATTGCTTTCATTTCCAAAGAGCTCTCGGTTGTCTGCGAAAAACATGCTGCAATTCTAAGAAGAACTGAGGTTTTCCATTTCATTTTCGTCACTGCAAAACCCTGTTAAATGCATATTTCCATTCATTTCGACCCATACAAAGATCTGGTTTCTGTATACAGGAGGCAGCCTAGTTCACTGAGGGCGGCAACGCTTGGAACTGAAAGTTTCTATTTAGTTTCACACATAATCTTTAAAGCTTTCACTTACACTCACCTTCATCATACAACGATTCCGAACAAGTCTCACATTTTCTCATACAGCTGAAGTCAAACTTTAGTTGATAAAAAAGAAAATCTAAACAGCCTGAGACTTATTCATACAACAAATATCAGCGAATAGAATATTTACTTTACTTGAAATGGCATTAACCTGGGATGGCAGCTACCCATGGCCACATCGTGAGCAATTCTAGGGTAATTTAATAATACAACAAAATAATATTTTCATTATTTTTTTTAACACAAACACATTGTGCTGGGCCAGGTGTGAACAGAGCATTCACCGTTAAAGGGTTGCCTGTTTAAAATGTCATAGAATACAGTATAAGGAGACACTCCCCAATGTTATAAAATAGCATTAAAAAGTCCAGGACATTGATAGAAACCGGTTTGGCACTGAAGTTGCAGGATATTTTCAAAGCAGCAGTTTTCAATAAGAGGAAAAAGTGGAAAAAACATTATGACAATGCAGTGATAGTTTAACCATCCAAGAGGGAATGCTGACTATCTAAATATCAACATATCCTGCTGTAAAACAACAATGATAAAATGTAAAACCAGAAAGATAGGAAGTGGTTCAGACCATTAGAAAACAGTATAAAATGACATCCTTCAAAAGAGGTTTCAGAGTTGAGAGTAAAAATGCCAAAAAATGCAGTCTCTGATGCAGTCTAAACCAGCGGACATGTCACCATTAAAGCATTAAAAAGCACCAAATGTGCATGGACACATATACAAATGTCCCAGATATGTGTAGAAAATAAAAGCAAAGAGTCCGGGGGGGCGGGGGGGAGCAGAAGACACCCGAAGGATCTGTTGTTTTTGAAACAAGGTGAGCCATCTCAGAGAGGATGGGACTCTTTGCTGTTCGGGACACGAGAGCCCCCGGTGGGGACCGTGGCACTGCGGATCACCTCCATCCACCTGCGGGAGGAGAAGGGGTTTTCATCCATCCTCTAAATACCAGGACTCAACATAACTGGAAATATGTTTAGTAAATGTGCATCTGAATGATTATACAATAGCATACCTCTCAAAAGTGTATTCGCTCTCCGATCGGAAATAGTAGACGTGGGACTTGAAATGCAGTTTGAAGACGTAGTCCTTGTGGATGTTTTCAGAGTCTTTGGGGACGGTGACTGAGTAACCCAGCAGAGGAAGGCTGGCCAGTGGATAATCATCCTGAGGAACAAAACGAAAATGGAATTAAGATGCACGTTTATATGGGTCTGTTATTAATTGCACAAACGATTTGTTATAAAAAATTAACAATAAACAGATCCATTGCTCCCAATAAAACGGTTAATCAGAAAATCATGCAACATTGGAGGAAGTATACATGAAGTATCAATGAAGTACTCTGCCCCTGCGACTCTACATGTTCATAATAAAAATATAAGACAGGCCCTACACTAATCTCTATTTACATTTTGGAAGTTTCCCCAACTGTTTTCTTTTTGGAAAAAAAAGGTTGGAAGGTTTGACAGTTATTAAAATTAGGGAAATGTCTCTTTCAACCATCAACTCAAAACACATCTGTAACATGATGGAGCCTCAGCTATTCAATGCGATATTGTAAGGGGTAAAGCCTTTAAAATAAACTGGTTTTATCTTTAGAAATTACATTTTTTGTTATAAGCCTTTTATGTTATAAGCGACATTGACTTTCCTATATTTCAAATATGTTGGAACCTTTAATCTAAATAAAACAGTGGATTTGTTGGTTCTTGATGAGCAGTTGTTCTGAACATTTGTTACTCTTTCCAAGTATGAAAATTGGTTTTGTATTGATTTCATGATATTTTTGATTGAAAATCAAACTTGCTTGTGGAAAATTTACCAGCCAATAATTGTTTTGGTGGAAAAAGTAAGATTTGTAAACGAGATTCTGTAACCCTGTGTCATGGCACAGAGATGAGACATTCTACACAGAGATGTGATGAGAGGAGAGTAAACACAGCAGAGCGGGGAGGGGGAGGTGAATGTGGGGGGGGGGAGGGGGGGCTGTGATGCGTTCGCTGGACAGAGCTGAGAGTGAAATGATCATCACCTGGTGGGACTTGTAGAAAAACAGGCTGAAGTTGGTGAAGACCACCCAGAGCTTCTGCCAGCCGTTGCTGTTCTTGAACTTCCTCAGTAAGTTTCCAGACAGCTGATTCTGCAAAGACAACACACAGCTTTACATCTAGAGCTATGGAAAACAAATACATATCATAAAATCATTTCTAGCGTTAAATACTTTGATTTTGACTAAAAATGTGAAAGAAGGATTCAATAAATTAAAGAATATGTCTGGTTATTCTTTCAATAATTTTTGTATTGCTAACAATAAAAAGCCAAAACCAAAAGATGACCGATCCTCTGAAGACTGATATAGATTATTCCTTTGTGCCATAAACCTCAGTTATTGTCTAAAAATGATTAAAGACACACATTTCCATGCGTGAGAGTGAACATATGCACTGTTGTTTATTTTGAGTTAATCCCGCATTCACACTCCTGCTGCTGTCAATACTCACTAGACTAGAGGATCGAATGTGAGTTAATCCGCTGCTGAAAATAGTCATGCTGCAAATACAGTATTAACACCTGTCTAAAGAAACCTTTGGTAAGAACTAGTGCCTAGCTGTTAAAGGAAATTACTTGTGGACAATATATTTGTGACCTGATTTTAAAGAATGAATGTCTCCAGTAGGAACTAGAAGGCTTGAGTGCTGCAAACACTCCAGGAACATCAGAAAGTATGGAAAGATCAGCTAATATCTTGTTGGTTTTGGTCATTTTATGCATTTGCTGACGATTAAATAAATATAAAATATGGCCAGCCTCCATTTTCCTTGTTTGTACTTCTACATAAGCTATACATCTACTGTTACTAGCATGTTTAATGTGTTTCACTTTTAATAGTTTCCAAGCTAAAGTCATTTTAAAGCAAGGGCTGACCTGAGAACAATATCAAACAATTATTGGCCCTTCTATGACATTATATTTAATGATCATAGGAATACTATTGTAAACCACAATAGTTTGTATTAAACTAATGAACGTGTCACTGATCTATATGTGTCTTCCTATGGTAAAGTTCAGGTGAACACATACACAGGGCCTCTCCTATCTGCCTGGCTACTTTACCTCTAGACTCCTGCAGGATTCACTAAAGGAGAGGCTCTGAACTCGGTACCAGCAGATAACAGACAGAGGAACTGGTCCCTGGCCACTGGGGGACCCCACCATGGGGGCCTTATTCACACTGACTGGACTAGGGTCCTCTACCACGGAGGAATGCACAGACGCATGGGGAGAAGAGAGAGAGAAAAAACAGACAGGGAGGGAAGGACAGAAACACAGAGACTGAGTCGGTGAAACACAGGCATGCAGTGGCAGGGTAAACACGGAGGCCGACCACAGTGTGTCCAGGCAAAGCTGTGAAGAGGACGTGGTTACAGAGGAAGAGCAGAAGTAGATCAGGGCAAAACAGGATCCATTCTGTGTGAGATTAGGACGTTTAGCAAATCTACGTACTGCTCTCTCTCTTTTTATAGACGATCAGAGACTTCAGGTGCCAAGGGAGGAGAGAAAAGACAGAACCACACAGGAGAGCCACAGTCTGAGTTTAGATTAGGACGTCACGCAGGCTGCTGTTAGCCAGAAGAAGGAAGGGGGAACAGTGTTCTCACTGAGGCTGCAAATAGAGCAAATCAGGAGCTTTCATCATATTATCTGGTATAAAGATTGCAAAAACTAAATTGATTCAAATTGTATAAGTCCAATCATTTTCAGATTTCGGGATAAGATGAGTTTAGAATGTATCGTATGGAGTTTTTGTCCGTTAGTAGTGGTTCCATATTTTGTAACAAGAGTATGAGGAAACAAATTAATATGTGCCAAACTGTTGTTATGATTCTTATCCAACCACTGGTTTCATAAATAAACTTAGCAATGCACCAAATATAATTATAGAAATGTGAAATTTGTCACCAATTTCTTATTATAAAAATGTGAATACGTATTTAGAAAAATAAACATTGAAATTGATGAGCCTTGAACTCATTTCAGTTCGTTTGCCCACAATTCGCAAGAAAATGTTTCGAAGTAATTCATATTTAGTTTATGGAGTACAGCGCAGGAGGATACTGTTCCCACTGAGAGAGAATAAAGTGAATTAGGACACAGCACACTCAGACACAGAGAGAGGAAACAGAAGCAGGAGGGGAGCGGTCTGAGGCGCTGAGGTTGGTCCGGTACCTCCACAGCTACGCTAAAGTCCACCATGGACACACTGGTGTTCCTGTGCCAGCACACGTGCACCATGGTGTTACCACGGTGAGGGCCGGGCTTCTCCAGCGCCGTGTGCAACGCTGTAATGTCGTCCTCAGACTCCGCCTCCAACGAGGAGTCCTCAAGGCATTCTGGGAAAGTCAGGAGGTTGTTACTGCTAGACAATAAGCTGGGTGATGAGGGGAGAAGGAGGCTAGAGCAGACACAAGGTCAGATCATTCACAAATCAAACATGGTCGCATGTATCTGGAATTACAGTTGTTGGTACTGTAAAATGTATTATCGAATTGCTAGTGTATATCCACTGTTCATTTTAGAAGTGTACATTTTATATGTGAGTGTATGTGTATGTAGTAACTTACTGTTGTCTATCAGATTGCAGATCAGTAGTTCCGATGTCCCATTGCTGGTTTTCGACGTATCTATCGCCATCTGTATGTCCTCCATCCACTTCTCCCTCTCCATCAGTGAACTAGAGTAAAAAAGAAAAACACAAATGGATAAAGTGTCCCATCATTACTCACAGCAGGATGGCCTTGAAGTGAGAAATAGTCCAGGGAACAAGAATGTCACAAGTTTGATCAAAGTGAGTCCAGGTGTCCTGCCAACTTTTGCTCAAAAGACACTTAGACACCATCTGGTCATCCATGGAAGACTGGATTAGCAAAATGTAGTTTAAAAGCAGCAAAGAGAAGGAATGTTTTTTTCCATCTAAGTGAAACAAGTGGAAATGAAAGCACTTGAGAGCAATGTGCATAACAAATCATTTCCTGCAATAATTTATGCGACAAGCCTCAACATTTCTACATTGCTACACAGCCACTTTGGGTTAAATTTAGGTTCCAGGTACAAGGTGTCGTACGCCGCTCTTACCTTGCTGCTACCACCACAGACTGCTGCTGTCCAACCAGTGTGAAGGCGTGCGGTACGCCCCACTCATCCTCACTCTCTCTGATCTGGAAGAAGAACACAGAAAAAACATTAGAGAGCGGTGGAATCTGGGACAGCAAGGACCAAAATAGACTGAAAGGGAGCAACGGAGGGAGGGATGATGAAAGGGAAGAGAGACAGAAGGACAAGTGTAGTTATCCTGAAAGTGTGTGTGTGATTGCGTCTGTGTGTGTGTGTGTGTGTGTGTGTGTGCAGGGTTGTGGGAAGACATTGGAAAGAGCTCAGCTGTTTGAGGCGGCTTATTTGCAGTAATGACAAACTGGTGACAGCTGTTTGAAGCACTTTGTGTTCAATTGAGAGAAACAGCACTTACTGTCATGCCATTGAGCGGCATCTGCCCGTGCACTTTGAACTGATTCGTCGCAGTCATCCCTCGACTCGTGTACAAAATGACGTCGTTGAACTAAAACGAGAGAGGCGGGGAGAGAGAAAGTGAAAAATGTACATTAACAACCTTTCAAACCAAGTGCCATTAAGCCTGTCTTTGTATGAATTATTAAACTGAATGTATATGATCTAATTAATAATCCCAGAGAAGTACAAACAACTTGTTCTCAACCACACATAAATACTGGAAAACAACTGTCAAAGTAACATGCGGTACATTTCCCATAATTAAATGTTGTAGTACATCTGCTAACACCACCTGAGTGTTGTATAGCTGAAAAGGAACAAAGCCTAATTACTTTTCCACTGAGATCATTCCACTAAATAATTCAATAAACAATATAACATGAACTAAAAAGAGAGTGGATGTTACCAGGAAAAACATCCGTTGCTGTAGGCCTTTTCCAGACAGTTTGTTGAGGCAGCCTAACCTGATGAACTCCTGGGAAAGTAAAAACAAAAAGCATGCATCATTTATCAGACTTACTTCATCTTCAGAGAATCAAACAAATATTTGCCCCTGCCTTCTCTTTAAGCTTTGAACTCACCCGACTAGGAACAACAAGATCGTTGACGCCAATCAAATCCTTCTTCAGCTCCAGAAGTTTCTGGAAGTTCTCCATCTTGTTCAGGCTTCCCTGGAGCTGCTCCACCACCTCGGACACATCCGCCAGAGCAGCTACAGACACATCAGGGGTAAGAGAGTATTGGAGATACATGCTACAGCTCCAGAACAAGCTACATATGCCTCTATGTTCACCAGCCTGAGCGTCGTACCTCTGCAGTCCCTGAAATCCACATGAGTTGCCGGGTAGTGTTTGCACAGGCGCTCCAGGATCTGCTTGTAGTGACTGAGGCGGTGCAGAGGCCTCAGGATGAAGACATTGAGGGGGACGTAGCACACCTTCTGCAGCTCAAAGTCCCTGCAGAGACCCTCCAACCTGTGGGACCCCCTGGTTGCCTTCTCCAGCTCCAACAACACTTCAGACTGCTTATGCAGGTTTGCAGTCAGTGGCTATGGACAACATCAAAACATGACACATATAAATACAATACCATTCATAACTGTAATTGCAGATATGCAGGAGTTAGGCCTCACCTTTAAGCCTTGAAGGTTCTTATACATGACATCTCCAATGCGCTGGTAGTCTCCCTTTATGTGAGCATTGGAGCGTCCTTCCCTAAAACAGATAAACATCAGCAACTTGTTTTATCTCTTAGACATTATGCAGCCATTTGTAGACACTGAATTAATTAACTAAGCAGCACAAAAGCACTTTAAGCTTATTGATTATTTAGACAAGCTTCACTTTAGGCAAGTGAAATTCCAATGGAGTTCACACAGGCTCTTTAACTTTGATAAAATGATCCACCAGCAGGTGTCTCCCTCGAGCAGAGTGAAGGAGTAAAGGGCTGCCATTACTGGATTCATTCAGAATATTTTTAGTTTGATCCAGCCTTTCAGTTACTTTAAGGAAACATATCCAGTCTAGAGAACACCTCCATCCTAATCTATTATAGGAAGCTTTCTAATCAGCACAGGAACATCCTGAGTATAATATTTGAGTATGCAAAGCTAAAAAGGAGACGCATGCAGCGCTAGATCATTTGCATACACATTTAAATGTGGTTCTTATCAGCAGTTCACCTCTACTATCACTCTCTGCTTTAATTTAGAGTTCTCAGGATGACTAGCGAGGCTTTGAAATAAAAATAATTTATGTCTGCAGTTAATGACCGTACATTCTGACACACTAAGAGGCTTCATGCATCACTGCCTGCATGGCTGTATGCATGTGTGTGCGTGTGTTTTAGTGTGTGTTAAATAAAGCACAACATCATTAAAGGGGATCAGACAGCAGAAACCCACAGGCAGGAAAAGGCCGGCCGTGGTGCAGTAAGACTGTTGCCATGGAGATGATAGCTCCTCGGGTCATTGAAAGGGTCTGGGTCGCTCTCTTAGACTAAATGCCAATAAATCTCATTAATAAAATGATGATAAATTGGGCTAGAACCAAACCACCCCATCTCTGGATGTGTTTTCAACCCACAGGGAGTGAAATGAGTCTCACCACAGCGCCAGCCTCTGCTCCACCTCCCTGAGAAAACCTGTGTGGAACTTGTGCAGCGGCTCGAAGGTGGAGAGGACGGTGTTCTTCAGAGACTCCGGAGTCGCTTCATCTTGTCCTACAGCGCTCTGGAAAGACTAAGATTACAGAAACATGCATCAGAGTACAAGTAGGGAAACATGGCCTAAAGCTAGATACATTAGGGTTCATCCAGACATGTTTTAAGGTAAATACAAATACTCTGCTGTGAATAAAAATATGATATCTGATGTGTTTTCCACAAAAAAGTTAGGTAATAATTATTAAAATGATATCTCCTACTAGATTGTATATTCAAATATTTTTCATTTCAAAGATAACAATTCTCCTACTTCTATAAAAAGTAAACTCTCAGTTGACACATCACATTTGTCATCACACAATATTATACATGTGAAGTAACAATATTGAGTGGCGTGTGATCAGTTCATAACAGACCATGTAACAAAGCCAAAGTTATTCCTAATTTGTAAAAGGTGACAAATGAAGTGTTGAATTGCAGTGCATGGGTATCTTTTGATGACATCAGGTAACTCTAAGTTCTAACTTTCTGATCACAAGCTTGTAAAGATAATATGTCTCCAAAGTAGGACACTACTAGGACAATGTGTTAAAGCAGATATTTCCAGGATATAACCTAAATACCTTTATCTGTGTTTCTGCTGTTGCACTTCAGTCTCATGATGTCAATTAAATCATTTAATTGTCTGACTGATGTGAGAATCCATATCCAATCACTCCTAACACCATTATTCAATGAAGTCAGATCTAACTCAAATGTTGCATGTTGTGTGTTTGGCCACAGCGGGCATGAAAATAGCTTTATTTAGCTGACGTGATGGGAACTAGAAGTTGGTTTCAGGAAATCTGAGTGTTCCTAAAAGGGTTGGAGAAGAAGTGCCAGATGTTGTTGGGATGACTTCATCCCAACAGCAGCACCAACCGGTGAATGAGAAGAGAGACTGCACACACACACACAGCTGTTAAAATAACCAGGACACAAGCCAACCCAAATGTTTATGAGATGTGTGAAAGGATTCTCTAAAGAAGCTGCCACTTTTAGGAAAGCCAGATAAAAGGGGTGCTGCATTTTCTCAACATGTGTGGGCCGAATCAGACAACAGCAGCGCTTCACTACGGCCTTGTGAGAACTCCTTGCTCGCTGTTAAATGAGCAGCAGCGCACGTTTAATATCCTGTTTTCTGCTGCATTTCCTGTGAGATACAATCAAATTAAATGGTGTCCATATGCTTGTACCCAGCCGGTGAAATCTAAACGAACAGACTGAAATGACGAGTCACATGCAGAGGAAACATGCGGCTAAATCCATCTTTCTCCCTTAAACTCAAACACAGATTAGTATTCACAGCCTTGAGTTAGACCGATAAATGCATTTCAGAGCGCGGGTGTGGGGACTGAATAAAAAATTAAATTGGATCTGCCAAAATATCCCTATGTCACTGCCTGACTCTGTGTTTTGGCGGGCCTTATGCAATGGAGCAGCTGAGCGGAATAATCAATGTTTTCTCCCCAGAGGACAGCGCAGGAGAAAACTAACAGTGGAGCAGCACGCTGGTGAGCAGACTTTTTGTTTTCTTACCACAGTCACCACCTCCAGGTCCTTCACATACGTCCTTTCTGTGGTCAGCAGCTCCTTGGCGATGAAGTAGGCTCGATCTGTTGGGAACCTCTGCAAAGAAAAAAACAGAAGAGAGAGGAGATTGTGAGCAACTAAGCCAGGGGTGTCCAAACATTGTTCACCGAGGGCCATATACAGAAAAATATATGAAGGTCTGGGCCACTCACTAGAGGTATATTGCCTCGTATGCTAAGTTATAAGTTAGCAAAATCAATCAAATGTAGGTAAATGAATCTTGATACTTGAAAATGCTGTAAGAAACACAACAGCCTTCATCACAGCTTTCCATAGGGTTTCATTTATTTAGTTTGCAGCTCATGCCCGCGGCCGTTTCAGAATGGGCCCGCGGGCTGCATTTGGCTCCCGGGCCGTAGTTTGGACACCCAGGAACTAAGCAATTCAAGTTAGGTGTATTGCCTAACCTATTTCTGTAAGTAGACTTGGAGAAGATACTCTGCTTTACTCCCTGTGGAGTTATTTAGGACAGGTAATCTAGGTCTATGCTATTTTGAGTTAAAGTGGCTAAGTGACATAATAACGAAATGGGGTGCTTTTAGGAGCTGAACCATTTTATCACAAACCTTCCTCCGCACCTCGTCTTCATCGTCAGTGCGGATGCTGCCGGCGTCGTTGAGCAGCGGGCTGGTGAGGGGGGAAGGTAGTCTGCCGTCGGGACTGTGACTGCCCAGATCCAGAGACTTCTGACCGTTGACCATGCCATGGGAGTGACCAGAGGACACAGACAGGTGGGGGCTGTTACACACCACTCCTGCACGAGGGCAAATAAAGAAAAAGTTAGTTATTCTGATAGAGATGGAAACACAACAGGAGATCAGATACATGCTTATCATTTGCATTCACTTAAAGTCTCAGATGAGTGGAGTTTGGGACACTGTGAGAATTCGTATGAAGTCAAGGCCACAGTAAATTACAGATCAGACCAAAAATCCAAGACATCACCTTGGACATTTTTCATTATTTTTGGACATTGTGAAGACTGAAACTGTGATGAAAAGAATCAGCAGATGGATAATGAAAATAGTTGGTTGCAGCTCGAAAAGTAAAGTAAATTGAAAAGACATTGGTAAAATGTTGATAATAATGAAGCTTTCCATCATTGAACTCATACTCTAACAAGGCAAACGTCACCCGTTGGTAGACTTAGCAGGCTAGTACACAGTATTTACACACACAGTGACCCTGGATCAGTCTTCTTATGCCACACACGAAAAACTGCCTTCAGAAAGTGAAATATCCGCCATGACTCACTCTACAGTCCAGACAGCTCTGGCAGTCTCCGTTCAACGCCAATCAATACGTGAGCCGAGACACGTAAGCAGGAATAGCTTACTTAGTGCCATCTTATTGGACAACTTCACTGAGATGACTTACTATGTTCCAGATGCAACTTGCTCACCTCTCTCTGCTGTCCTCTGGTGTGTCGGCACAAACACAAACAGTGATTACTCGCACACAAACCAGCTAAAAGCACCAGCACAACTCTGGGAAGGATTTACTATAAACTCTAAGGAGGGAAACTACTAATGCACATCTACACAATTGCTAGAAATGGGACCAACCGACACTAAAAAAACGACAGGGAGGATAAGCTTCAAATACGAGCACCAGAAAACAACTAACTTCATAAAGGTCATCTTTATTGACTCTAAAAGAACATATATATATACACGGTTAAATGATTATTAATATTGAGAAAAAGCAGCATAAGAGAGACAGTTAGTGTGTGAGAGACAGAAGGGAAGGTTTAGTAAAAGAAGTGTGAATTCCCGCAGTCTCCTTCACCTTACCTCGCATTACAAATAAAAGAGATCTTGATGCATTTTTAAATAAACAGCATTTTGAGACTTTTACGATTGTTATTGCGGTGCTGAAAAGTCAGTTGGTAATGGGGGGAAATATGCATTATTCAGTCCATGAATACAAATCGGTTTTACATCCATCTACTTGTAATAGTGAAACAGTGAGCCGTCAAAGCACTTTTTAAATTCAGTCTCTATTCATTGTGCATGATTTCCTAGTCATGAAATCTGCTTTAACCTCACATTCTCCAGTCTCTTTTTACTAAATTAGGAAGTAAGAGTGAAGGGACTGACAGTGTTACCTTTAAGAACATACAGTACATGCAGAGAGCAGACATGGAACAACACGATGTGCACCACGCCTCAGTCCTGATTTAGCGCAGCATGCATTGGAAAAACACCCTGAAGGACACCAGTGGTTGAAAAATAAACCCACAGACCCGGGACCTTGAACCAAACCAACACATTTGATGGTCAGGACCAAGTTCACACACTGGTATTTTCAAAGTGCTCCAAGTTACTGGGTCTTTGTGTGGCAGAGCGTAATTCCATATGATAGAGGTTTGTTTACCAGAGAGGGTTTCCTAACACTGCAGTGATCCAGTTACTCACACAAATGGAGATATTTTCTTAGCTTTCGTAAAGCTGTACTGATCTATTTCATGCAGCTTTGAAACGTTTGCCTATAGTACTATTATCAGTAGAAGCATGCATAGTCCAAGTTGTTTGCAGGTGCTGCTTAATGAAATGCTGCTTTGTCATATTGGATGTCATATTTTTGACTTACTCTCAAGGCAGACAGAAAATAGTAATGTGGTCAATTGGGAAATAGCCACTTAAATGGTATCTGTATTTAAAAAGGAAAATAGAGAATAGATATTGACCAATAGAAATAAAACCATAAGATACTATGCTGCTTGACGTCAATGCTAAAAATGGCTTGGGAGCACAAAGACAGTGATGGATGAGCCGAGAGACTTAATGCTGTTACCCTTAAACTGCCTTTCACACATGTGTACACACATACAGAGCACGATAAGCCTTCCTCTATTTCCGTGCATATTTACAAGCTCCTGTCATGCTCAACCTGACGTTATATCTGCTCTGGAAGAATTATCCGTGAGCTGGATCATTGCAGAGCAGGCAACCCAGATACTGGTAATCTCACCTCTTTCCACAACACAGACAGAAGTGAGTGACAAAACAAGTTGACATGCAGATGGGAGAAAGAAAAAAAAGAAACTTAACAGAAATGAAATGACAGTTTCATGCTGACAGACAAGTGCTTACATTGGACAAAGACAGAACAGAAATGTGGAAACACTTTGTCAGAAACACAAATAGGGCAGAAGTGCAAATTAAATCTGGAAAAGTGATGAAAAAAATGAAAGTGCTGTGCCGTTTTGTAATGAAGATTGAGAACTTTGCACTCTTTGGAAACGAGTGAATTGTTAGTGGACACCAAAGCTATTGGAGGGCTCGGCTTGATATCAAATTACACCCAGAGATATTCAAGTGTGAGTCAAAAGCAGGGGGGATGTCAATAGTGAGTAAGAGCCGTAAGCTGTTAACTCAGCAACACCTCAGCCTGACCAAGCCACCAATAACCTTATGAGACAATATTCACAACACTATTGTAAGCTTATATTTACGTGAATTCCTTACAGATTCCTGCCTCCTCAGTGAATAAAACATGATGTTTCTGTTTGTCAATGGCATTGGATACAAATGAGGAGTACAAATTGGTGTTTGCAGCATACTGTATAAATTAGTATCCACTCGAACAGCAAATAATTCTACTCTCACAACAATCACAAGCCAGATGCAGCATCAAGAGTGTCAATAAATCAAACAAGACAGCAGGATTATTCTCTACAAAGTCAACAATTAGCGCCACAATTATACATCCACAGGCTTTTAGGACTCCACAGTAGACATGTAATGAGTACAAAGTGTGTAATGCACAAAACTGTACAAGATTTTACTATCTCTAACGGACGGATCTACGGACAATAAAGCAATGATATGTATTTCCCTAAGGAAAGTTGTAAGGCATTGGAGACATAGAAATGAAATGACTCACACTGCGGTTGCCTCCTTTTTAACATCCAAGCGAGTGCAAAGTATGCGAGTAAAGTGCAACAGTAATAATGAATAGTCTTCTGATCACTCAAGTTTAAACCGGACATGAGCAGAGTCACTAAATCTCTGTACTTTTTGATTAGTAGCTATTTGGTGTTCTAACATGGCACATGTTATCCCTGAAGCAACGTGCTGATACGATCAAAGAACTGTGAGGCTGACAGATATCAGACTGATGCTTTGCTCGAAAAGTGCTTCTAGTATCTGTGCGTTAAAAGACTACTGTGAACATCTGTCCCCCATTGAACCCAGATTTCCTTACTCTATAGATCCAAACTAAACCCTCCTGTAGAGATCTCTCTGTGCACTAACAGTTAAAAAACTGTCCGCCATCCTCATCACTGAGCGCTTGGTATTCGTCCTCATCTGCCTCGTCATCCAGCTGGAGGCTGCCAAAGGAATACTTGTTCCTGGGCAGAGGGGACGTGGAGTTAGCCCCCACTGGGTTACCGACCATCAGGGGGCTGCTGCACCGCCCCCTGCTGGTCTCCACCTCAGACCCACTGGACTCTGACCCGCTGGTGGAGGAGCAGTCGTTCATTTGGACCGCTCCCACCTGTGTCCCAGCATGCCTTAGGGGTTTTCTCCCCGGACTGGCTCTGGACCGGCTAGCTACCGTGAGGCCATTGGCCACCATGCGTCGCTCAAGAGCAGCCATACGTTCGGCCCGAGAAAGAGAGGGAATTAATTCATTCCCCAGGGAGGACGTTCCCGGGTCTGTCTCAGACTGCTGGCGTACTTTGTGGCGCTTTTTTTGTAAGCGAGGACAGTGGCCTGAAGCGGAGGAATATATACCCTCTTCGAAGTGAGGTGGAGTGGCGCTGTAGCCATTCTGCTCAGAGTAATCGAGGGAGTGATGATTGTCCATGGCGGGACTCCTTAAACCCAAACTGGGGGATGTGAGAGGGCTGCTGCTGTGCCTCTCGGTATTATGGCCACTAAGATCAGCCATATGGAGAGGACTTTGGTCAAACTTTTGGTGTGTGGAAGTTGCATGCATGTTGAGGGATTGCTTAGAAGAGGAAGGGGCCTCCCCATACTGCAACCCACCAGAAAAGGCCTGCAGAGGCCCGTTCATGCTCCCAGAGCCGGGCCCATGCAGGACCATGGGCTGCTCCCTATGGCTGTGATTCAACCTTATAGTCTGGTTATATTCACTATCTACATCAGCGCAGTCAAAGAAGGGGAGGGGGCTTTTAGCACCCCGAGTTGCTGGACCTGTATTCGGATGATCTTGGTGGGTCTGTCGTGACGAGCCTCTTCTTTCCTCGGTCCTGGACACGGACCCTGCTCGGTCCTCGTGGCCGTTTCTCTGGAGCGACGGGCTGGCCCTCGTGGTCCTCAGAGCGGAGGGGTCTTCTGCACTCACCAACGCCGACTCCTTCCAGTGACGCCGAGAAGGAGAGTCTACTCTGTCCCTGGGAGCACCACTCTGACAGAGGGAGAAACAGGAACAAAATTAAATCATTTAAAGGTTTTATTTTATTCATGACTATGTTTGATTTGATTATTTATAGTAACTTAAAGCTGGTGTTTTGTGGTTGACCACCTGTGGGGCCATGTGGTGCGGTTTCAATGAGCAAGTTAGATTGCTGTGCTTCAAGTTCTTTTCAGATGACAAAATACTACATACAGGATGCAAGTTTAATATTGATTGTTAGTAAAAAAAAAGGTTGACAGGGTACCATTGAGGCCTTTGTTGTGTAAATGTAGGGCAAATATAACGACCATACTGAGATTCATAAGGTGACATGCTGATAAATGTGTGGTACAGATGCACTGAAAACGGAGACACTCACTTCTGTTGGCCCTTCATGGTGGCGTGGCGAAGGCAGGGGCGACAGGCGGATGTTTTGTTGGACCCGACTGTGTTTTCTGGCAGACAGGATGTTGGAGGTCAGTGTTAAACACTCACATCATCATCGCCTACACCAAATGTCTCAAAAATGTCTGCAGCCTTTACCTTTCAAACGGGATTTTCTTAAACTCAGACTCCCTCACATAATCAATCACCTGCTTCTGAGTGCGGCCGCTGCAGAGACAGGTACAGGAGGGAAGATAATGAGCTCTCTGTAGTAGACTGTTAAGTGATGGGGAGACACTGCTGTGTGTCTGCAGCTCTGATAGTCAAAGAGCAGCTTTGGAATACAATCTCACCTGAATCTGAAGGAAGAGCCCCGGGTGAAAAGCACAGGCTTGGGTTTGGGCTTTGGTTCTTCAAAGAGGCGGAAGAAGGCGTGGTATTCGACACAGATCTTCCACAAGACTTTACAGCAGTCCCTGCTGCCCATCATAAACTCCAGAGTGTCCTGATATGAACTCTGGGGAAGGCATACACAGATAACTTAAATCACCAAACACTGATGGGTTTTTATATTTTCCACAATGAGATTCAGAGACATCACTTACATTTAGATCCGGCCTCAGCTTGATGAGGAAACGCTTCCTCTTGAAGCTCAGTTTACGCACTTTAGACCAGTTGAAGGCGTTAATCTTGGTGTGTCCCTGCAGGGATGAAAAATAACTTTTATGACTCAACATTTAAAAATGATAAATACATGTACCAATACACTTTCACAACCAACCTTATCTTTATAGGTAAGCACAAATAACTTATGTAAAGCTGCAACAAGCAGTTATATTGCATTTTTGATGGTTAACATTTTTTAAATCCCAGTTTCTCAGATTTCATGATGATGTATTTAATGTCTTGTTCTATCAATCCAGATCCCAAATATAGTCAGTTTGATATTATGCAAAACAGATATAAGCAGGACATTTTCCATATTTGAAAGGCTAGAAAAAAATTAGGCAATTTTGGAATAAGAACTTAAAAGATTGATTATCAAAATAGTCGTCATCGATCGATTCATTGATTATTTGACAAATCATTACAGCTCTATCCCCAGGTTTTTTTTAACATCTGTACCATAGAGACAACTTATCACGCTAACCTTCATTAAACACCCCACGAGTTGATCTACAAACGTGTGACTGACCTGAAGGACCAGGACACCGGTGTGCGCCACCGACAGGCTTAGCCTCGTGCCCTCTCGGTCCTTGGCAGGATGTAGACGAATCCCGTACATCTCCAACCTGCGCGCCACTTCCAGTAACTGGTAGTCTGATACTGCTGGTGTTTGACCTCTGGAAACACAAAACACAACAGAAACCAGTTCAAATGTTGTCTGAAAACACAATTCAGCCTGACTGCTACATTGGGTGTGATGTTTCTCCATTCAAATGAACAAGGGCACGGTAGTTTATTTAAACTTATTCTAAATACATCATCCTGCTGCTGTTAATACCCCCTTGAGCACCACATTTATTTATATGCAGCTGAAAATAGTCCTCAACAAATGCACTGCAGCTGTGTCATAAACCATATATTTTTACTGGGCTTTTAAAGATTTACATGTAAGAATAATTGGTGGTTGAGAGCCACAGAAAGGGCAGGGAAGTCAGGAAGTATTGAATGTTAGACGAGCTCATTATTGGCTTTAGTTGTTTTATGAGAATTGTTGACATTAAGAAAGATATACTGAATAAAAGTGACATTATCCGTAAATCTATATATTGGTATTGTACAAAAGTCAGTGGGTCACTAGAGACACAGCAACATTACAAGAGCTTTTAATACGTCTTACGGAGTACAAACTGTAGCATTCATTATCCTTTCCTCACATTTTTTGGGACAAATACATTAAATCCTGGCTTATCTTCCTGCTGTGTTTCTCACTAATTGAGGTGAAAATAGCAAGTCTGGGTGGAATCGAGGTTTCTAATGTTTATCAGAGATTTTGGAGTAATGATGAAAGGTTGATTTCTAAATCAACCATCCACTTATCGGTGGATAAGCCTTCCTGTTTCCTGTGTGTTACTTAATGAGAGATTTAACTCAGCCTGGCACCCAGTGAGAAGAACTGCAGTTACACTTATCAACTAAGAAGAGCCCTGGTTGGAAAAAGGGCAAGTCAGAGAGAACAGTCAAATCTAATGGAGCTCCTTTCATGTAGCAGCCACCCACTGTGTGTTCACCTCTGGCATGCCCCCATGTAACGTAGAGGTGAGACAAGGTTTGGCAAAGCTTGGATTCAAATATGTGCCCTGATGAGGACATTTGAGGCAGGATGGTACTGTAGGAGGAAATCTGGAAAGTTTCCAGTAACATACTCCCAGCAGCATACCACTCTTAAACTTAAGGCTGATACTTAACTTGACACAAACTCCTGCATTAGACTCTTTGTTTTTTAACCTACTAACCCAGCTCACAACAGCTGTGTGAGTCATTCGCTTGCTAGGAGGAAAATTTGAGTTATTTTTCCAGAAGCAATGCAACCTTGAATTGATAGAGTGTTAGAGAAACTCATATCCACTTCTGGCCAGAAACTGTAAAATAACTCACGATGACAAGCTTTTCTAAGTTGATGTAGTATAAAGAACTACAAATAGCACTCTTGAGAAAAATAACTCATTCATTCCGCGTTTGACTTCCTGAGCGTGTCGCCATAATAAAACTTGCCCGTGGGACATGCACAGGCTCTGCAACAATTGATCCTGTTCATGGGTGAAGAGAAATGATGGTCGTTCAGCCCTGGTTCAAGTGACATTTTGAGCAGAGCTTAAGAAAGTAAGAGTGGATCAAAGAAACTCACATATTTTTGGAATGAAACTCCATTATCTTGTCGATCAGGGGCATTTGATCTTGGATGTAATTGTTGTTGAGGAGGTGGGACCGGCACTGGCTCTCCTCAAAGTCCCCAATCTCAGCTGAAAATTAAGAGAGCAGAAAGGAAACACATATTTTAATGAAGCAATATATGTTACTAAATAAAGCTAGGTGATTAATTTAAGAGAAAAATAACATGAAATGCCTTCAGAATAGCCTAAATGGCACAGATTCTCCAAGTCTCGGAACTCTACTGGGATAAACACCAAAATACATTTCCTTGTAAAACATAATTGTGGTAAAAATACACTCTTTTGGCTATACATCTACATATATAGGCACAAACTGATCCACGTCAACATGTATGTTGTCTTTGATCCCTTTTTGGAAACAGAGATATCAGGTTAGGAAAATGCTCGGTATTTATGTGCGAGTTTGTTCTGAAGCAGTCTTGCAAGATTATTTTCAAGCCTCCGACTCAAAGGTATCCATAGCAACACACAGATAATCAATTTGTAATGGTGCGCAATGTGCTATATGACAATGTTTGATGATAAGCTCTGTGTGGAAAAAGAAAGAAGCATAATGTGTCATCAAAGACTGTTATCTGATTAGTCGACTCTTTGGTCTAAATTAAGAAACAGCCATGGGGAACTCACACTGGATGATATGGGAGACCATCAGAGCGGAGCTGGTGTCGTTGCTGGTCAGACGTCCACAGGAAATATCCTGCTTGATCTGGAGGGCAAACAGGTATCTGGACACAAACACAAACAGCCGTTTCAATAGAAAGAAATGGTGATGGTCTCCAGCATCGGCGCACGATCAAATGAAACTTAATTGGAAACACCATGTATTGCTGAATTTAAACAGGAGATCCTAGGGAGTTGCTGTAACGAAATATCTGATTAAATAAAATGTACCCTCCTGGCTCTGTTAATTTCACACAAGACGTCTAAAGGAAGTTGGCAAAGGTGCGCAATTTGATTCAGTAATAATAATAAGTTAAGTGAGGTCATTAATCGAATTGACTGACTGCCTGGTGTTACGGTGCAGCTTCTCTTGGATGTAAGCCAGAGCAGGAACCAATTTCGTCCTAATAAAGGGTATAGTAATAACTTTGAACAATGATTATTAAGTGATCATTTAAAATACAATTGAATGGAGTAGTGCATACCTATAAGTCAGAGTAGAGTAAACTAATTTCATAAATGGACCTGATGAAATGTTTATGGTAAATGCATAGTTCTGCTCCCTGACCTCATGATGATGGAAGCCTCCCTTTGGCAAGAAAAACTAAGTATATATCTAAAGTAAGCTTTTCAATAAAAGGTGAGGCATTAATAGTACATCCACAGGAGTGTCAGTACGCCTATTATATACACATGTTAAAACATGCTGGCTCCACGACAAGGAAAGAGGAACCAGAAAATCATTAGCTCCACGCTAATCTCCAGAGGGCTAAATCAGAACATGGCAGCCATGACACAAGTGCAAAGCTGAGGGGGGAATAAATCTTCTGGGAAACTGGAGCACATTTTTCATTTATGCTCCAACAATCACTTTCAGTCACAGCAGAAGTCATTAACAGTGACAAAATGTTAATAAATACAAATGTGTATTTCAACTGGAAGACATACATGAGGCAGAGATAAAAGGAGTTTAGTTGTGTGGAAAAGGAGCTCACCTAGTTAGCTCCTCCAGAAGCTGGGCATGGTCCGGAGGAAAGAACTTCACAGCAAACCTCAGGGTCGTGTGCTTCGGCCCTGTGTGGGATAGATAAGATTAATGGTAATACAAAATACATTCAGTGGCTGGATACAACTAATGCAGTCATCATTCAAAAAATATCCATAAAGTTAAATCAAAACCTTTTTAAAACTACTCGAAACCAAAAACATTATGGCCTTAATAATAAATGTAGGTTTTTCTTGGTTGTTTTGAGCTACAGAACTGTGTGGGTCTCCCATTTGACTTTGCTTGGTTACATAGAACACAAAATAGATTCCGCACAGACCATACTGTTAAGTTGTCGTTAACTGATTTGCCGGCTATTTTCTACAAATAACACAGTAAAACAACCAACAAGAAAGATGCCTGGATAAAAACTGTGTAAACCATTTAGAAACACTTACGTCTGAGCTGCTTCATAATGGGTTTGATATGGTCTAACCAAACCTGTGGGGGAAAGGAAAAAAAATTATGAAAACATCACTAAGTAACTTGTTATAAGCAACACTTATTCTGAGATGTATAAAAATAGGCTACATTTTGTATCCTCACTCACCGTCATCTTTTGATGATTCTGAAACTCCAGACCAAAGTAGTCGCCCTCGACGAGGTTCATGTGGGAGCACACCAGGTCAAACAGCACCTTGCCTGAGGCTTTTTGCTGTGGACAGGAAGAACAACACATTCTGCTTAGAAAACGTCTTGTCTCAGCAATGTAAAAACTAGTGAGTGACATTTTATATTCTTATCTAAATGAAGGACAGCCACTCTACATGAAACCTTAATAAGAGTTTGACACAGAAGAGCAGCGAAAAACAAACTGCTCTTTAGTCCTGTCAAAGCCTGTGAAAGTGATTGTCAGTGAAAAAGATGGCAACTGTGTGTTTAAATTCCTCTGCTGTCCTCCCTCCCTTCTCCTATCCTGGCACACAACAGCACAGTAGGCCACAAAAAGCTCCTGCAGCTGGAGGGAGTTGGAACCTGTCTTTGATCTGAGTTTTCAGTGTCATTGCTGTCACTGATGATGGACCAGAAGCCTTTGAGGCCGATACATTATCAGGATGGGATTAAAAAGTCTCCCTGACCACCTCTGTCCTCACTCACCCCACACATACACACTTTGAAGACTGACTAAGCCCCCCTTTCGCAAAGCGACAACATGAAAACCTCAAAAAGCCACCACAACTTCGGAGCGAGAACTTTCCCATGGAAGGTCAAATTCATGTCAGGGATTTCCACTGAAACATGGCCGCCGTTACAGAAGCCCCAGGGAGAGACACAGAGCTCTGTGAGGCACACAACAAGAGCATTTCTGCATGGCTGCTTCCTCGTGACTGCCTGGTTGCACCAGTGTGGAGCGTATCACAGCTACAGAATGTGTTTATAGTAGCAGTCCCTACTGGCCCGGATAATGATCCAGGGCTGCGTCTGCGTTTGTTTAAATGACTTTCTCCTCTACTTTTTGCACAAAAGGACAACGAGTCATAAGCTACAAGAATTCCCTTCAGACAGCTGAACTGTGTTGCTCTAAATCTATGTGGTCTTTCTAAGAAATCACTCTCTCTGTGTTCCTGTCGATGCTTAGAGAATAAAAACTTAAGCTCTACCAGCTTAGAGGGAGGGTTACACTTCCACAACCAAATCCATAATCTTTCCTTAAAACAAGACTCCCGCCGTCACCAATCCTCCCAGAGTCAGTCCTTCCTGTGTGAAGCACCACTTTCTCTCTCAGTGCTGATTCCTGCTGCGCAGAGGGCATCCCACCATGGAGCACCAGCTGTTTAGATATGGTGATGAAGAGAGAGGCCAGAAGGAGGCTTGAGAGAAAAAGCCATCAGCCAAAATACACCCTTCCCATACACCGAGTGCTTCCTAATAGGTAAAACAACCTTTACATGTACATGAATTCTGTGAGTCATGTCTTCTGCATTGAATTGAACACATGTGCACTGTAGAGGCTGCAGGAATCAGAACAGCAGATCTGAATACAGTAAAAGCTGAAGAGTGTGTCTCTCTTACTGTGGCACTCTCATATCCAGCCCTATAAATCAGCTGTCAGTGTGAAAGGACCAGGGGCCAAGCGGAGATGGGTAAGGCAGAGGCTGATTAGAGGCAGCCAGTTCTTGATTAAATGCAGAGTGGAGTTATGGTGCTGCCATGTGACACTGCCGCAGCAACACAATAAGGCCACTGTCGTTAATGAAGCACAAGGCGCACAGATTGACTGCCGTCGTGACGCAGACAGTCAGAGGACACCATGTAACACAGACCTCACTCTAAAGTCTCTAAAGTCTAATTGCAACAATGTAATGATGACACTTGGTGTTTAATCAATGTCTTACACAACTGCACTCTGGTCAAAACACATCAAAACAGCAAAAAAACACATTCTTACAAAAGTATGTGGATAGTGGTGTATCAAGGGATCTTTTCATCCCTACTAAATCCCAGCAGATGTGACTTCTGATAAAAGGAAAAGCACAGGTGCAATAAAAACGTCTCTTTTATTTATTTATGTATCTATAGTTTATAGCCTATGCCCATCTGCAACAGCCGCCCCACGAGTGCTTTCTGAACAGTTAGATTAAAAACACTGATGTCAAAAAAGGTTAAAAAATGCTTATTCGCCTCGTATAACAGCATCGTGGCACTTTATCTCGATCTCCATCTGTGTAGGCAACAATGTCTGTTCAAGGAGCATTCAGTGACAATAGCACACTTTATTGATAGCCGGTAATGGCTGCCAAATGCAACGGCCAAATGTTCTCACAATACTAAGGGTTTACAGCCAGGCCAGCAGATGTGTGAGACACTGCTTTTTAGATATATGTGAATGTCAGTGAGCTAACAGGCTCAACATTACAATGTTAAAAGCTAATGTTTATCAGGTATATGTTCTATAATGATCTATGGTAGTTTAGCATGCTTATACTAACACTAAATACAATGTACCCCTCATTTTTGCATGCACTTGAAATGTGTGATAACTCTTTTTTTTTTAAAACCAAATTTCATGGCAATCCATATGCTGGTTTTTCAATATGTTAGACTAGACCAAATTTCAGACCATCCAACTTACCAACATCGTCATACACATTTTAATCATCTTACTTACTTGAACTAGCGGTTAATCAAATGTTTTTGAGGTAATTAAAGTAACACTTGAGATTTGAAGCCAAAAAATATTTACCGTACTTTGTCATTCTACTTTTTTAAACCAATACGTTTCACAGAGTATAAGAGCAACTGCGATTTCTCCTTCTGATCCTGGCATACATAAATCCCTCTGTGACAACAGAAGCTGTGACTTGACACGTACATGATGTGCAGATGACGCATTATTGCTTATTCTTCTCCATACATGCCACGCTGTCCCTCCCCCAGCAGAAAGGTTATAGTCCTAAAGAAACATCATGCTCAGCAGCTGACATGTCTTTCTTCCTCTGCAATGCCAAGAAAATGTCACCAATCTCCCTTTTTATGACCTCTATCTATAAAAGCACTGGAGCTGGTTTACACACGAGCAGCCAATTGCATAGTGAGGCGACGCATCCTGATTCAGCGGTCTCAGTCTCGGGCCTGTCCGCCTGGGTTTATTGGTTTTGAAACGCAGGCTCGAAGGATGCTACCACTGTTTACATGTGTGTGAGAGCTAGCATGCATTGCTACACTGACCTCCACATGCTCCCACTGACAGAAGAAAGGCTAAATTAAGATGACAGCGATGTCTACACACATGTCCACTTGGGTCTTCGCTACAGGGTAGACCAGGGTACACCACCCCCCCCCAACCCCCACCTCTTGTTAGTAAGCTCCTGTCAGCATAAAAAAAACACATAAAGGTCAGGTGTAAAGTAGCTTTGTGTTTGCTCTACAGTTCCCCTCCAGGAGTTCTTGGTATGGTCCACTTCACTTGAAATAAGCCAAGCCGGGCAGTGCTCCCCAAATCCTCCTGGGGGGGGGTAGGGTGGGTGTGTGGCATGGGTGGTAAACAGACTGCCAATGCCTTCAGGCTCCAGATAGATGGACAGAACAAAGGGTATATGGGAATATGGGATTCATGGTGTTTGGAGTACAGCCAAGTGGTCAGCCATTGTTGGACCAGACACCAGCAGGGATTTAAACCTTTTATTCCATTTAGTCTTGTCTTGCGTATTGGGCCATGCTGGTTCAGTGGCCCCTGCTGGTTCAGTTATACCTTCAAATATATAAAAGGAGATGACATATCACGGCAGGAGATTTTCCGCAGTGACATTCAGCATCATCACAGGAAGCTGATCGAGATGAAAGAGACTGTGTGATTTAAAGGGAATAGGTGGATGGATAAGTGGGGAAAAGGTCAATTTTGGAGTGAAACTATCTACAGTGCTCATCTGATAAGACGGTAAAAGGCTTATAAAAAATAAAGTTGCAGATGTTTCATGTCTTAACAAAAACCTATTTTCAAACTGACTTGTGAGAATGGAAAACCGACTTTTGGTGACCTTTTTTTACTATTTAAAACTTTGCCCTTTATATTCAAAACCAGAATCATGGTTCTTCTGAAAGTGCTGCTCAGGGGTCAGGCTGAGAATACAGAACTGCTCACAGTAGCAGGCAGATACATTCCCACACTAAATCCTCCTTATGCCGTTATTGAAAACACATGTGGAGACTGCACTGACTGCCCGTCCCATACTCCCATGGGTTCACTCACCATAAGGCAAAATAAAATAAAAACAGCCATTTAAAGTATACCTCACATCACATGTAGGCATCTTTGCACGTGCTGTGGTGAAAACTGTGTATCCGCATGAGCAGATGTATACAGTGCGCTGTAAGGACAGGGTAGGACAGGGAGGTCAATGGCAGCTGAAGCTCATTGTGATTCAGGTCATGTTCAGCAGAGGTTCCCAGGGTGACTCGGCTACAGAGCGGAGCTGACAAAGAGAGAACAGTGGAGGGAGGCAAACCTGCTGATAATCCTGTCAAAGGACCTGCATACCGTCACAGCACATAAGGACGTGTGACCACGCATATGTTCGCAGTGGTGTGTTCATAATTAGGACAGCCTTAGTATAATTAGAATAAAACTAAAACATGAATCCGTTTAATCTAGCTCTATACTAGAATATCTTAAGCAGTGTTACATTGACAAGAAGTAATTTAATTATTTAAGTATCAAGGCTTTCCCCTCATTTGTTTCTTATTTCTTCCAAGCTGCAGAGGAAAATATCAACAACAATACAATGAAAGGAAAAGTGATAATTGGGCTGCCACTGCTGTCAGAATAATTTTGTCACAGTACGCGAGCCTTCAGGCCCCGAGAGGACAACCATGAAAAAAATGTCCCCTGCCTCTACAGCCACCTCCTCCCCCTCTTCCTCTTCATCCTCTCTTGGACATTTCTCCCCACTTCGCCCGCCTGTATGGGCTGCTAGTAACATATTGATTTTACATACAAATAATGAAGCGTCCTGTTGAGACCGTTGTGCTGCTGAATACCTAACAGCACATGGCTCTGTGCGTCGGTGAGATGACCTCCCACTGTTAGTTAGAGCTCCATCAATCAGAAGACAGATAAAATGTTAAGGGTTTGCATCGTTAAAGCAGACACTAAACAAGCTGAAACAGATATTCAACCAAACATTATCTGCTGTGCTTGCACATATTAAGTCACGC